GCCTTGTATCGGTCTATGCTCCCATCTGCCTTTAATTTCACTGTAAACACCCATTTGCACCCGATTGTCTTCTTTCCATTTGGCAAAGGTGTTAATTCCCAAGTTGAGTTTTTTTGGAGTGCGTCCATCTCTACATTCATTGCTTCTTCCAGTTTGGATCATCCAATGCTTCCTGTACACTATTTGGAATTGACACACTAGATAATTGATTTACAGATAATGCATATGATTCAGATAAGTGTTGGGTAGATACATAATTGCTAAGGGGGTACTTAGCCTTTGCTTTGGGATCAGGTTCATAAAAAGTTTTTGGTATACCTTTGTTCATCCGAGAAGATTTTCTGACAGGTATTTCAAGTGTATTCGAAGGAGGGATTAGAGTTACCTCTGTGCTATGTTCAGTTTGAATTGCTGGTTGAACTTCAGGGACAGCCATAGAAGAATCTTTGGTTATGTGTGTTAGACAAGGTTCTGCATTCTGTGATGCTGTAGGTTCATCAACTTCTGGTGATGCTGTAGGTTCATCAACTTCTGGTGATGTTGTAGGTTCATCAACTTCTGGTTGAGTATTCTGTTCTTCAAGATGAGCATGCTGTGTTGCTTCTGGTTGAATGGCCGAGGGTGCCATGTGAGTAGAGAGCCAAACGTCTTCTTCTCTAGTAATTGTGGATGCTGGATTCTCCCCCTGAGAAGGAGAAGTGGAGGCTCCCCCTGAGTAATAAGGCTCAGTTTCCCTGAAATTGACCTCTAAAGTGACATGCATTTTATGAGAAAGAGGGTCAAAACAACGATAACCTTTCTGAACATCTGAATACCCAACGAAAATACATTTTTTTGCACAAGGATCCAATTTAGATCGCTGGTTTTTGGGAATATGGACATAGGAGGTGCAGCCAAAGACTCTGGGTTCAAGGTTAGAGGAATGACGGGTAGGAAAGTGAGAGGTAAGGACTTGGTAAGGTGTTAGGAAATTAAGGACACTAGAGGGGGTCCTATTGATAAGGTATGCAGCAGAAGTGACAGCCTCCCCCCAATAAGAAGAAGGAACATTCATGCCAAACAAGGAAGCACGAACTACTTCTAAGAGTGTGCGGTTCATTCTCTCGGCTAAACCGTTTTGCTGTGGGGTATAAGAACAAGAGGTGTTGTGTTTAATGCCATGAGAAGACAAAAAATCAGCAAAGTTTGCAGCCATATACTCCATGCCATTATCTGACTGAAGGATCTTAATATTGGTATTAAACTGAGTTTGAACCATGCAGAAAAATTTTCTAAACACAGAAAAAACTTCTCCTTTATTTTTTAAGAGACTCACCCAGCACATACGCGTACACTCATCAATGAATGTTACATAATAAAAAGATTTGGATAAGGAAGGTACTTGGGCAGGGCCCCAGACGTCAGAATGAATAACTTGAAACGGAATAATACTTTTATTCAAACTTGGATAATAAGGAATTCTATGGCTTTTAGCCAATTCACAAATAGAACAATGGAAATCAGCAATGCTTACATCAGAAAAAAAATGGGGAAACAATTTTTTGAGATATGTAAAAGAAAGGTGACCTAATCGTCTATGCCAAATCCAGATAGTATCTTTTGCAGAATCCACAGCAGAAGTAGCAGACACACGAGGAGGAGCATCACGACTACAACGGGAAGCATCCAAAAAATACAACTTGCCTTTCCTAACACCATAACCAATGATCTCCTTTGTTTGGTTGTCCTGGAAGATACAGACAACAGGCAGAAAAATCACAGAACAATTAAGGTTAGAAGTAATTTGACTAACAGAAAGAAGATTGAAGTCCAGAGAGGGAACAGCCAAAACCAAGGGAAGATGTAACCGGTCAGAGAGAGAAATTGAACCTTGACCAACAATGGCAGAGGTTCCACCATTGGCCGTAGAGATCACAGTCTTTGGGGAAGGGGAAAGATTAGACAAAAGGTTAGGATTACGAATCATATGATCAGAAGCACCTGTATCAATTATCCATGAATCAATTTGAGATAGGGTAGAGAAAGCATGAGACTTACCAATAATACCTTCGTATACCGCATTGGCTGAAGGAGGGGGACCCATATCAGGGGAGACAGGTGCAGCTTTGTCCAGAACCTTACGGCGAGGTCTCTTATTAAAATCCCACCATTCGGGATATCCAATGACTTCATAGCAGCGCGTCTTCGTATGACCAGAATCTCCACAGTGGGAGCATAGAAGCTTGGAAGAAGGAGTATCTTTGCGAGATTTCAGAGAGGCAGAGGAAGAACGAGAAGTGTTCACCACCATGGTTGAGGATTCATTAGAGGAGAGAGGACGATTCATGATGACGCGTTGCTGCTGTTCTCGCCGAACATACGCATAGGAGCCTTTAAGGTCCAATTTCGGGTCCTTCCGGAGGATTTCACCGCGAACCTGGTCGAACTCAGCATCAAGACCGCTGAGAAAGATGAGCATGCTGTGCTGCTTCTGGTTGAATGGCCGAGGGTGCCATGTGAGTAGAGAGCCAAACGTCTTCTTCTCTAGTAATTGTGGATGCTGGATTCTCCCCCTGAGAAGGAGAAGTGGAGGCTCCCCCTGAGTAATAAGGCTCAGTTTCCCTGAAATTGACCTCTAAAGTGACATGCATTTTATGAGAAAGAGGGTCAAAACAGCGATAACCTTTCTGAACATCTGAATACCCAACGAAAATACATTTTTTTGCACAAGGATCCAATTTAGATCGCTGGTTTTTGGGAAAGGAAGAGTTGTCTTGTTGAATGATGATGTTTGAGGGTGGAGGAGGAGGAGGAGGAGGAGGAGTGGGAGGAACCACGGTGGTGGAGTCTGAGTTTTCCATGGAGGTGACTTAGGGATTCGAAAAAAATAGGGATTTTGAGAAGAAGGAATTTGGGATTCGAATGAAAGAAATCGGTTTTGGGTCGGATACGGGTCGGCTATTAGTGGGAATGGATGGTTTGGTTCGGGTATACAAAGAAATAGAAGAGAAAATTGGGAAATGGGGTTCCTGGATCAATAATTAACTGATACCATGTCAAGACTTTAATTCAGAGAATACTTCTGTTTTCATTCATATATTTTCCTCTTCAATGAGGTGCATTTATACAGATCAAGTACTTCCTAAAAATACAAATCAGAATAACTTTGTTTCCTAAAAATCTTCTAACAACTACTTTGTTACAAACAGAAATTTAATTTTAAATATTTACAACAGTATTTCAAAATCAAAACTTCCTAATCCAACAGTATCTACGGAGCTTATGGTAAAGATGACAGGCAATGAAAAGTCTTGCACCTTAGGCCAAAGTCTGATGGGATGAACAAGGGGTGTGTGTGCGAGTCACTTGCGGTGGAGAGGATGTGCTCTGGGCACAAGTATGTAGGTTGTAGCCATGGTGACCAGGATAAGTTATCATATGAGTTATGAGATGATCCCCTTTGTTAGCTACAAGGGGTTATATATAGATGAATGCACTAGGAGATTGTGCCCCTAGTGGGTAGTTTGCAGGTGACTTAATGGCATGATGCAATGCTTAGTTGGTAGTTATTGGTAGTGGATGGAAGTTATGGGAGAGTGATGGAATGAGATGCTCCATGTATAAAAGTAATTATAATGATATAAAAGTAATATGCCAATTATATATATAATGATATATAATTAGATGGAGTTATACTTATATTTTTCAATAATTATTTTATTTATTGTTGGATCAAAATTAAATGATTTTAATTTTAATTTAATGATAAAAATAATTAATTATAAGAAAAAAATTACGGTTACAACCGCCCTCCTAAAATTCAATTATAAACCTGAATGATTTATTTACCAGTTTAGCAATCAATACGTTTTTCAGAAGCACAATAACAACATCATATATCCTTTGCTTACTATGGTTCATAAGAAACCACAAAATACTTACATTTTAGGAGTTACTTATTTGAGTTCATCCATATCTTCATCTTCTTTCCCCTGTAGGAGAAAACGTACTGATTTTTCACTTGCATACTACATTTTTAGTTTTTATACATAAATAATTATTTTTAATTCAATTTCTCTAACATACAATAATTTCATATTAATGTTATGGAATATGTTATTTTACCCTCTCTCTTTTTTGTCTATTTGTATCTATTACTCTTCAATATTATTAGATCAGAATATCAACTATCTTAATTATTTTTCTCTCGTGTTGATATGGAATTGGGAGTGAAAAAGTAGTTATGTGATCAAATTCCTTACCAAATTCTTTTCGCTCTAAGTGATAAGAAGCCTGAGAGCCCTCGGAATAAAAAAAAAAGATTTGGGAGAGCTGCCCCTGAAAAGGTTCGACAAGTGCTCTATGGGGATTAGTCTTTGGTTACGGTTGGAGGATATCTTGAGATTACTCAAAAAAAAAAAATCATATACCTTCCTTTCTCTGGCTTATTTCATCATCAATAATGAGGGGTTGTGATCAAATAACATGATCATATGTTCACTTTTTCACAATAGAGGATCCAAATTTAACGAAATTAGAGAATAGTAAATTGGTAGATAAAAATAGACAAAAATAAAAGAAAAGAAAAGAAAAAGTTATTCCTAATTTAAAATGGGGGAATGATATTATAATAACTAAGTTGTGTTACTACCATGTTACTACCAATCAATCTCACCGTTAGATCGATTATGTTGATCCAACGGTTATATTTATTTTTATTTTTGTACGGTTATGATTCCCAATATTTAAAGTGAAAGCATTAAATATGAAAAATCATAACCATACAAAGGTGAAAATAAATATAAAGTATTAAATTTGAAAAATCATGACCATACAAAGATGAAAATAAATATAATCGTTGATCAACATAATTGATTTAAGAGTGAGATTGATTGGTAGTAACTTGACAGTAACATAACTTGATTGTTAGAATATCTTTTACCACTAACATGTTAAAAAATAAATATTTTTCTAACATTTAAGAAGAAGGGAAATAAAAAGTGCCCCGCAATGGAGTCAAAGTAGAAGAAAGAGTTAAGTTCACCAACCCAACACCACCGGCGGCGCCGCCAGTGATTTCAATTTGATTGCATTGCTTGCACTCTCCTCGCCATCTTCCAATGGCGGCCACCGTAACTGCAATCCGAACCTTGAAACTCCATTCTCCATTTCCTCCTCAACCAAAAACATTCTTCCCAACAAAACCACCTTCCATCTCAATATCTCACACTCACCACACCTTCCGCCCTAACAAACTCCTCCTTTCCGCCGCAACTTCCGGAGATGCAACCGTCTCTTCCAACGGCACTCCCCCTTCTCCCACGCGATCAAAGCACGTCCTCCCCAAATTCTGCTTCTTCTTATTCCATTTATGCCTAGTAATTATTCTGATTTGCTATTAATTAATAATAATAATGAAAATGAAAATGCAGGGTTCGGAGACACACGATTTCTGTGTTCGTTGGAGATGAGAGCGGAATGATAAACCGGATTGCGGGGGTGTTCGCAAGAAGGGGATATAACATCGAGTCACTCGCTGTTGGTCTCAATGAAGATAAGGCTCTCTTCACCATTGTTGTGTCTGGAACTGATAAGGTGCTGCGTCAAGTTATGGAACAGCTTCAGAAGCTTGTCAACGTTTTGAAGGTTCATTTCATGCCATGCTATTATATCTGTAACTTGCTTTTCGTGTGTTTCCGTTGGATTATTTTGTGTTTGGGAAAACAGTTTAATAATAAAAACTGTAAAGAACCAATTCAACCCAAAAACTTAAGATGTTAAGTGAGGCTACATTAATGGTTTTATATATTTTATATAAGGTTTTATATATCTCAACACGCACCCTTAAACGAGAGCTTGAAGAATGAACAATGCACAGGCCCACTTACTTGTGCGAACAAAGAAATTCCACTTGAAAGAAAGTGGGGGGCGGCGAGAATCGAACTCGGGACACGAGGGTCTGATACCATGTAAAGAACCAATTCAACCCAAAAGCTTAAGCTGTTGGGTGAGGCTACATTAATGGATGGTTTTATATATCTCAACAAAAACATTAAAAAGAGTTAACATAAGGTAAACTTGCGCTGGCTGGTTTATGGTGCTCATGTCATTTGTTGACCAGGTGGAAGATCTTTCAAATGAACCCCAGGTAGAGCGTGAATTGATGCTAATAAAAGTGCATGCTGATCCGATAAACCGTGCTGAGGTACCTGCTTAATGATTTGTGGGTGTTGTGTGCATTTACATATCTTGTTCTTGTTTATTGGGCATATGCGTGTGTGTGTGGTTTATTTCCTTATTTGTTTCTATTTATTTATTTAATTTTTTTGCTATGAAATTTTCAGATAAGTTGGTTGGTGGACATCTTCAGAGCTAAGATTGTGGATATCTCGGAGCATTCGGTGACAATTGAGGTTATTGCTGGACAGCTTTGGATATGTTTTAATCTATAATCCTCATGTTTTAATGCATGTTTTCTGTTCATATGCAACCTGTAAAACTAATTGTGATTGAAGGGCATGATCTGTATGCATTTCATGTAATTGCTGCCCTGAGTTGCATCATCATCTGTCTCTTTACCCATTGATCGTTGTGTCTCAGAAAGCTTATGTTTGTCTTGCTAAACCTTCTTGCATTCTGTTGAATTCTCTATTAATTTATGCCTGTAAGTTATACTTGGATCAAGAATTGAGAATTTTTGTTGGTTGATATCCTAATGTCTTCATGAAGTTCTCTTTTTGTGGCTATATTTGTCCTATTGCCTCCTAATAATAACACATTAAATTTATGTATTTACAAAAAGTTTTGATAGTGCCTCCTATATGTGTTTTAACACTACTCAAAAGTAGGTGTAATTTTCTGAATTGCAAACTATTTGAAGCTTTATCATTGCTATGGCTCAAATCTTTTAAACTGTCAGTGGATTTAACAGTGCTGGCTGTGTTGTTACATAGGATTGTTTGACAGAAATTGGATAGAAGGTGGCAGCGAATGGAAATCATTGTATAGCCTCCTCAAAGTTTTGGTATCTAGCTGCTAGGCCTTCGTTTAATGGATGGGATTATTAATTGGCTGTGGGCTTCACCATCAATTGGATTGTACTTGTAAAAAGGGAAAAATAATATCATTGTTGTTTTGTTAAGTTAATTATTGATTATTGGAGGTATAAATTGAATTACAAGAGCATGTTACGGTGCCTTGTGATCGGCTCATGTTAGGAATATATTACATGTGTTGATGTAGTCTTTCTTTCATTGCATAAATAAAATAGTATAATTAGGATACTAACGTTGGAGTATGACTGTATTGCTGCTGAAATGGCTGCTTTTATGTTATTTTTTTGTGCTTGATTTCTTGTCTTTCATTCTTTACATGATTAGGATTTGTCTGTCTTTAAATAATATCAGGAAGTAATAATGTGCCGATTGGAGCTGGGTAGATATTTTCACCCTTATTTGCTTAAGTTTTTTGTTTCATATTTTCCTTTCTATCTAGCAATTATTTATTCATCACCATTACCATTTTTACTTGCAATTTATCATTAGGTATTCTTGGTGATACAAACAGGTCATAATTTCAAGTGAGTTGTTTTGCAAATGTTACAGGTCACTGGAGATCCAGGGAAGATGGTTGCACTTCAAAGAAATCTAAGCAAGTTTGGAATTAAAGAAATAGCCAGAACTGGAAAGGTTGGAAAGTTCAATTGAGTACCTAAGAAATTTCCTTAACTTTTATCTTGTCCACTTTCTCGTTCATTATATTGTCAGATTGTGCAAAATTTACTAATCCATTAACATCTGATTATGTAATTATACCTAGATTGCATTAAGAAGGGAACAAATGGGTGCATCTGCTCCATTTTGGCGGTATTCAGCTGCTTCTTATCCAGATCTTGAAGCAAAAACAGCTATCAATGCCCTTGTGGGAGTGACAAGTAGGAATCCTATTGGTGAAAATGATAGGCCCGTCGGGGTATGAGCTCGCGTACTCTTTAACCCTATCATTTCCTTTTTAACCGATGATTGGAACACTTCAACTTTAAATTTGAATATAATCACTTGAAATTAAATAATTGGCAAATCCTATCAAAAGTGTTAGATTTAGAAATCATGAACAAGCTTAGTTTCCTGAAGTAAAATTATATTGGGTGAATTTTGCACCATGGTTTCAACACCTATGCTTGTCTCAAATACTACTAGCATTCCAGCTAATGATCTTCACAGTTGAACACCTTTTGTCCCTCCGCTTCGGAACAGTTTTTGATAATTTGTTAGAAAGGTTTTGGTAAACACAGGCTGAAATTTTATGGTAGTTTGCAGTTTATGCCATTCTTTCTGCATCTGACTGCAGTTCAACGGCCTCATATTTAAGAATGTAACTTTTCCCTTAAGCTTGTTGAGAAATAGGATTATGTTTTTGCCTTCTCTTTGATATCTTGCTTATTGTCGTTTTAAGCGAGTTATCATTTCTTAGATGTACTTATGCAGCCTTTCTAAATGTTCTGTTATTTCATATTTCTTGCTGTATCTTTTTTCCCTTATTTTAGAGAATATCTTACCCTCCACATAGCTTTACTTTCCCTTTCTCATTGTTTTCTATAAAAAAAAAGGCCACTGGGTCCCTCATATTGATTGTGGATTGTGGTTTGTAACTTTGTAGCACATTATCCATACATTAGTTTTTCTTTCCCTATATCCAGCTTCCCTTTGGCATCAGAATTCAGAGCAATTATTTTATTATTGTTGCATGTCTTGTTGTAGTAGAAATTGAATGATGTATTCTACATCACTCTCCATGATAAAAAGCCAAGCATCAAATTATGTTGTTGTTGGATCTTTACCGTCTTTGTGTAATATCAATTGTTTAATTTTTGAGTTTATAGAATTTCTATGACGGACTAAAGAAGAACAAATCTGTAACTACTGCACAGAATGAAGCAAATAGTGACTTAAATGCACTCCATTATATTTTCTGTCCCTTCTGTGCTTAGCTGTATTTGATTATTCAGATCTAGTCTCTGACCTTTTCTTTTCTTTTGAAATGTTTCTTTGTGTGAAGGGAGATGTTTATCCTATAGAGCCTTCAGGTGGTTTTACATTCAATCAAGTACTTGACGCTCATTGGGGTGTCCTCAATGATGAAGATGTAAGATGGTTTATTGTTTCTCATTGTCCTTCAGTGTATCCCTTTTTTGTTTCCTTGCAATGCATTGTAGATGTAATGATACCTAAGTCATCCTCATTTGGAGTTTCTTGTTAGTGTTCCTTTACTCGATGATCTCCCTTAGGAGTTTAGAGTTTGATTTAAATAGTAATGAAGTTTCTATTTCGTTTTTTGGTTACTCATTTGAATAAATTCATTGAGTTGTATACTTTTTTTTGTTGTAGTTTGAATAACATGACAGGAACCTTGCTTTATTACCATTATGCAACTCTAAACTTATAATTAGTCCATTTAGGTTAAGCTCATGGTTATTTTGACGTGAAGTTGTTAATTGCCCCAGCTTCAAACACTTCATACCATTTCTAGCCATTTAAAATACTTCAAATTGGTTAATTAGCTTAAGACAGGCTGAACATGGCTTATCCTGGTATCGAGGTTTCATATCATTGTATTCTTGTGGTAGGATAAGATAAATCCTGCATGTTATGTCCTTCTAAGAGATTTAGCTACAAATGCTAGTTGGCTCATTCTATTCCTTTTCCTTTTTGCGGTTCAACTTCCCATAGCTCAGGAGAGTTAAGCATTTGTTTCACACTTCAGTGTTTTTTGTTAAAAGTATTTGGTAGCCGAAGCTTGGTATTTCAATACAAGTTTTTGCTTTGTGCAATTTCATTGCTTTAAAAACCAGACTGGACTGGCCTATTCAACCAAAAAACCGGTGAACCAGTCAAATGACCGGTTTGGACAACCCAGAAAACCTAGCAATCAGAGAACCTGTCCAAAATTGGTAAAAAGGGGTAATAACCATTGGTGAAAAATAAATTTGAACTGGATTATTTTTTGTTATTGTTATATTTTATATATTTTTATTCAACCAAAAATATTTGTTGAGGCAAATAGAGGATCACATATGGATTGCTATTATATATCCTTTTATTATTGATTTTCATCTTGCAAGAAATATAATATGGTCCTTTTATGCTGATTTAAAATTTTATGACTTAATTTCTTATGATTGTATATTAGTTTATTACTTGATATTATATAATATTTAAAATGTGTATTTAATTATCACTAGTTCGACCATGGTTCAACCATAATCAGACCAATAAACCATGAAGCAATGCTTTCATTGGGTCAATGAATGGTCCGGTTTTCGAAACAACGGCAATTTCTAACTGATTTTAGAGAAGGTCATACGATTTATGATATTTTTGCCATTATTTTCTTGTTTTTACATTTGCTTTAGTTGAGTTTTTATGATTTGTCTTTCTAGAAATCAAGTATTAAAGGCTTGGTTGAGTGGACCAAATTGTATGAATCTTGTTACATTAGTTCTTCACAAAGCTTTTCACCTGTAAAGTCTTAAAACTCTTAATGTTAATTAGAAATGTTTTATTGTTGTAAAGAGTCCAAAATGTAGTTTAATGCTCGTTGTACATTAGCATGTGATAGAATTCAAGGTCATAGGACAAAATGCTAGAAAGCTTAAAAAAAATGAAAAGGAGAGATTGATAAAAAATAGAGATTCTCTGAATTCTGAATCTGGAGATTTGTTATTGTGTTCATCTGTTAGATAGATTTGAATATATATACATCTGATTAACTAACTTAAGATTAACAGAAAACTAACTGAACTGATTTGACAGCTGCTATTCTAACTGAATAACAGAACACTAAGTAATAGTTATAGAACAGCATTTAATGTTCATGGATAATCTCAATGACTTGCATATTACTATCTTACTGTTGGGATAATGCCTTCAGACTAGTGGAATTCGATCACACACTTTATCCATGCTTGTGAATGATGCTCCTGGAGTTCTCAACATTGTAACAGGGGTTTTTGCTAGAAGGGGCTATAACATTCAGGTTTGCTTCTTCAGTGTTGTTTTTAACTTTTATATCTGTGTGTAAATTTGCATACACATAGTCTAGCATTTTTTTAGTTTCTCTGTTCTGTCATCTACTTGAATCTGCCTTTTGTTATTTCCAGAGTTTAGCTGTAGGACATGCAGAAGTTGAAGGACTTTCTCGACTTACAACCGTGGTTCCTGGGTCAGATGAGTCGATCCGCAAGTTGGTGCAGCAACTCTATAAGCTAGTAGAACTGCATGAGGTTAAAAATCTCCACCAAAAAAATGCGTCACATCCTATGAATGAACTGTTTGCTTTGAACTTTATATTTTTTTAGTATTATTGTTTGTAGTATCCTATAGCACTTTGAGTGTGGGTCTCCTCCACCGGTGTCCTAGTAAACACAAATGGACATATCCAGCTTAGTCTGACTTGACCAGAGTTGTCTGCAATTTTACCCAACTAAGCTATTTTCAAGGAGATTTGTGGCGAAACGTTGAAAGTGGTGGATCTAGGCTGATGCCTGATAAGTGTAGAACTGTAATCCCTAGATATGATCCTATTATTGTAAAATTAGTAGTTACATTGTACAGCGTACTAAATTTCAGCAACAGTGAAGATTCAGGTGTATTGTGTGTAGGATTTGAGCGTAAAGTGGCTAGTCTTTGTAAATCTTCATTGACCGTGGTGATTTTTCCCTTTGTTTTTGCCCATGGACATAGGCCTATAGTTCACAGTAGGTCAAACCACGTTAAATTCTCTCTCTTTTTCTTCTCCTTCGTTTCTGTTTGTGCACTTGGTTATAACAAGATATTTGTCTTGGAAGCCAGTATTGGGATTAAATAATGACCTATTCAGTAACAAAATTGATTAGTTACAGAGTTAAGTATGTGAGTGGATTTTATGTTTCCTGATATTATGTGAATAATAGAAGAGTATTATGAAATTTGAGTATCTTGTACTTGCAATGCAATAACATCATCTTATATAAGGAACCTTACTAGTTTCTGGGTGCCTTGATCTTACGGATTAGTCTTTATTCAGGAATTTCAATCCAAAAATATTTAATATTAATCTCTTACTTTAAGCGTAAATCTTTATCTTCCTTTTGTATTTAACCATTGAAACAGTATTGATTGAGATAGTGCATAAATATCTAACCATTTTTTATAATAAGAAAATATGGCCATTTTATAGTTTCTGTATTTTAACTGATATTTCTCCAGGTTCGTGATATCACTCACTTGCCATTTGCTGAGCGAGAATTGATGCTAATAAAGATTGCTGTAAATGCTGCTGCACGACGTGATGTCCTTGATATTGCCAGCATTTTCAGGGCTAAAGCTGTTGATGTATCTGATCATACAATAACCCTCGAGGTGGATTTAATTTAGACTTTTCAACCAAGTCATACAGCATCATATTTAGCATCAACATAATAATGATACTAATAGTGGATACTACTTTACCGTAAGAGAATGTTGAATTTAGCAACCGCGTTGTACTTACAAATTGTACTAATATCAATTTAGTTTAGCTTAAGTTTCCCATGCTAAAAGGTCACAGGATCCTGCCCTGTTGGCAGTTTAATGTCTGTTAGATCTTGCATCAAGATTTTTTCCAACGGTCAACAAAGCTACCACCAATAAAGCAGGGTACTAGTGCCCCAATTGACCGTCAGTTTATCATGTAGGTTTTTTTCTAGGTCATGAGAATAGATAACATCAAGCTATTTATTGAGCATCCAAACATGATAATAATCGGGTTGTGCCCATTGTCTACAGCCTTCCACACCTGTTCCTTTTCTTTGTTGAGGTGGCTAACTGTCAGCAACGGAGTTACTTCTTTTCTCATCTTAACGGATAATTTTAGGTTTCAGCAGGCATTATACCCGACCTTTGTAACTCTTTATATGATCCTTCTTTCAGATTAAATATTAATGATAAAATTGGGGCACTGAGATGATGCTTTTCCTCAAAATGCGTACCATGGAAATTAACAACTGATGACGCTATATTGGTCCAAATTTGTTGACATTGTTTTCTAAGTTAATTATTTCTTCCTTCCAACTAAGGGTATGGTTATTAAACAGTTGGTTACTGCTTTTTAATTAATGAGGTTAGGCTGATGACAGAAAAATTGGGAACTTCATTTTTTTTTTAATTGTTGAATTTAGTTATTTAATTAAAAGTATGTCTTAATTATATAACTCTGATAAATATAAGTGAAATTACTGACTTCAGATTGACGGATCCTTTAGTATTTTCATATTGTTTCTGGGAATAATTGATATGCTCTTATTCCAGCTTACTGGCGATCTGGACAAGATGGTTGCATTGCAGAGATTGTTAGAACCATATGGCATTTGTGAGGTTTGTCTTATAAATCTTTTCCACTCACATGGTATATATTTTGCTGAGACAATTTTCTTGTTTAAGTACTTCATTACATATGCTACCAGAGTCTTATTTGGTGCGTTTGCTGCCCTAAATGTATTCCTTAATTCTGTTTAAGATGGTTTCTTTGTTGCTTGTATTTCCTTCTGGGGCTTTCCTTTTTTTTTTTTTAATTGAGTCAGAAACTCTTTTATGCTGGTCTTAGCTATGGTTGCATTGTTTCCTTTGGATGCTTTGTAGAGGAGAAAATGGGATGAGTGGTTCTAGACAGACGGATAGATTAGTCATTCTTAAATGTCCATGTTCATTTTATATCATCTATGAAGGACACTTAACAGCCATTATTTTACAAACCAAATTGGTGAGTAAAACGGTCTAAGAAAAGGTTTAAGAGTTAGCGTTTCAACCAGGGTTTTGAATATATGTATTTTTTTGTTAAAATACAAATATATATGAAAAATATATCAAATATTAAACATTTTTTATGTGAATATATAGGAAAAATATAAACAATTTGAATTAGTATTAAAATATTGACTTGTTTTTAATAAAAATATTCACTACTGTGTAACGAGATTTTATATACAAAATTTAACAAAAGAAACTCCTAAAACGAACTTGTCTCGTAAGCAGCGGTTTATCTACTTTGAAATTTTAGTGGGCTAAGATCATGCACTTTAAATTTGAATCATGAGTGAAAAAACTCTACTTGCTTCGTTTTTTAGAGCTGGCCCTAGGATTCACTTGTCATGATGTTCTTTCTGGGTTTGATTTCCTGCACATGCTGTACTTCATCCTGAGGATTCAAGGTTCAGATTCCATTAGGAACAAGTGGGATGCGATTTGTAAGAAGGGATAAGCTCCTCCTGCTGAATAAGCCTCTAATTGACAAAAGAAAAGACATTGTTGTTTTACATTCTATCACATTACCAAACCTGTGCTGGATCAACAGTTTGGTGCTGAACCGGTCAGTTAGTACCGGTTCAAGGCTAGTATTCTTCAATTGTGGTTCAAACATGTGATAGGACCGGACAACTGGCTAGTTCAGCCTTGTTTTTTAGACTATGATTTATGGTCTTGCATCAGTGCTCCTAATCCAGTTTTTCTAACGTTTGTTATTGGTTCAGGTCGCAAGAACCGGGCGCATTGCACTAATCCGTGAGTCAGGTGTGGACTCCAAGTACTTGCGTGGATACTCTTTTCCTTTCTAGTTTCTTCGCCAGGGTGAATGTCTTCGGCTTGTAGAGCTTGTGCTCTCTCTTAAGTTGTGCTAACTGAATCTTGCCTTCTAAATTATAACGTAAGTCTTCCAGTGCTTTGCAAATCTAGGCTTCGAATGACATGTGAGGTTTTTTTTTTATTTTTATTTTTAAAAAAGATTTCCTTTTTCCACCTTTGTTCTTTCGTTATTTTTGTTTTTGGTAAAATTACAGTCACCTGTTCTGTGCAAAACTAGGTAACTGGGTTGTATGGAATCGGAAGAATTCGCCATGATATATCTGATCCATGTATAATATCATGAAAAATGGATACAAATTTTTGGCTACATACTTAGTATTAGTATCGGCAATAGGTCTGAAAAAATATCTAAAAATATGAAATTTAAATATTTGTACCCTATCGAAGAAAGGAACCGCGCTATATATGTTAGGAATAGATTCTATTTTGTGAGAGTTGAAAAAGCACTATCAATTGGGCTGTGGTCTTGGTACTCAAGATCATATTGCAGGTTGGTTTAGATGAAGGTGAGTTAAAATGATTAGGTCCTTGTAGGTACTGGTGTGCATGGTTTAATTCGGCGGTTCTCTTTGCCGAACTGAATTGGAAAAAATAATTCAGTTCTGTGAACTGAATTGGATTATCACTGAATGAAATTAGTATGAATTAGTTCGGTTCAGTTTAAAACTAGTTCTGTATTGGTTTTTAAACTCATTTCTAAATACAAATAAAATTAAGAGTAAAGTTCTTTTTGGGTCTCTAACAAAAAAATACGGTTCTCACTTTTATCTCTTACAAATACAAAAAATTCATATTAGTCCCTTTTTAGGGACTAAATTGGGTCTTCATTGAATTTTTAAGGGATCATATTTCCACAGAACTGGAATTGTAGAGGGACCAAATGTTGACTTTTTTTTAAGGAACAAATGTGGGGACCGTATTTTTTTAAGGACCTAAAAGGGGTTTTACTTTAAAAATAATAAAATGATTAAAGAAAAAAAATAAAAAATAAAATAAAATATAGAAATGTTACTGAAAATTAAAAAAAGCAATAAATAATTAAAATATATGAGAAAAAAACTAAAAACTAAATAAACAGAAAAAAAAATAAAGAAAAAAAAGAAGACAACAAATAAATAATAGGGAAAACTTCAAAAATCTCCAGTAATTTTACTCATAATCATTTACCCTCTCTCCAAAATTTTGAATTATTTATCCTCCTGACTTAAAGTTTTTTATCATTTACCCCCTCACTGAAAGGGGTAAATGATAAAAAAACTTTAAGTCAGGGAGTAAGTGATAAAAAAATCTAAATAAGGGCGTAAATGATTCAAAATTTTTGTGAGGGGAGTAAGTGATAATTAAGAAAACTCATAGGATTTTTTTGAAGTTTTTCCTAAATAATAAAAGAAAAATAGAGAGGAAAAATAAAAATAAATGAAAAGAGAAAAAAATAATTCGATTCATGGACTGTTTTCAATTCAAGAATTAGTTTTTAAAAACAGTTTAGTTCAAGAAGAAAAATCAATTCTTTTTAAGTCGTGTTTTTTTGCACATTCCTAAAATTATTTTTTGAACCTAAATGAAAAAGGGGAAGGATATTGTAACAACCAAGTTATGTTACTACCATGTTACTACCAATCAATCTCACCGTTAGATTGATTATGTTGATCCAACAGTTATATTTATTTCCATCTTTGTATGGTCATGATTTTCCAAATTTAATATTTTATATTTATTTTCACCTTTGTATGGTTATGATTTCTCATATTTAATGCTTTCACTTTAAATAAGGGGAATCATAACCATACAAAGATGGAAATAAATATAACCGTTGGATCAATATAATCGATCTAACGGTGAGATTGATTGGTAGTAACACAACTTAGTTGTTACAATATCCTTCCCCAATGAAAAATATAAAAATATTGAGGAAAAAAAATAATATAAATAATACTACAAATTTTTTTTAAAAAAAACCAATTAAAAAGAAAAAAAATAAGAGAAAAAATTCATAAGAAGAAAAAGAAAAAGAAAAAGAAAAAGAAAATAATAAAAATAAAGATAAAAGAAGGAACATAATAAAAAATAAAAGAAAAAAAAAACTAATTTGATTCATGATTTTTTAAACTAATTCATTTCTTAAATTGGTTCTAAAAACATTTAATAATTTGATTATTAAATAACAGATCAATTCAAAAACTGATTTTTAAAAGCTTTCTTTTAGGTCATTTTTTGATTTTTTTTACACGCCCCTACCTACGGGTTAACTTGCTACTTGTGCGGCTTTAAAAAATACATAATATCCTCATTTAAATTTCAAACCCAATTGATATTTGTTTTTGAGATTATTTGACAAGTTTGCAAAGGTATGGGATAAAATAAAGGATAATTAATTTATCATATTACTGGAAAACCAATTTTCATTCCCGCATAGACATTGAAAATGGGGATTGTGTTTATTTATTTTTTTGATTTAATTTTTAGTTGATCCCACCATGATCTTCCCTTCTATCTGCAGGAAATCTGATTCTTGTCCTCTGCAACATTAGAAGTTGATTACCCTAAATAAATATAACTATAAAACAAAAACGAAATCTAAAGGGAACAAAAATTATGTTTTGGCCAAGAGTAAACCTGAATATAGATAAAAATTTTTTTGAATAAATCACATGTATTCTCCACGGAAAACAATCCTGTTCAGAATGGATCCAAAATTAAGGTTTTAAACTTCATCTAAAGATGGTATTTGAAAAGATCAATCACATACTCTCACTTCCACTTACTCAGCTCTCATGTGCCAACTGAACTACCATCATTTAATATCTGTATATAGATAATATATCTACAAGTATTTGACAGAAAATAATTAGCTATGTAAAAGAAGTGATCTCGTGTGCGAACTGCAATGATATGATAGTGGTAGAAGAGACGTGCAATTGGTAGTGTTTAAAATAACACTAGAATCTGAAATTCAATGCAGCACACGACATCATATGTAACACAACCAGAGCATCTGGAAGGGAAAAAGTTCCCCTCCTCACAAATCTGTTCAACAAGTTTTGGAGTCTTTTTCTTCTGAAAAAAGGGAAAGAAAAAATAAACATTTTATATCATCATTTGTTATAAACGATAGTAACATATGTTGCCAAGTCCATCATACGGATCCTATCAGCAACAGAACATAAATGACGTCATCCAGTTTTCGTTACTCTTCTGCAGCACTAGCAGCACTAAGATCCACACTGAGGTCAATAACCTGCTCAAAATCACCCAGTTAAGAATATATGAATCAGCGGGTTACCCAATTACTAGCAGAACCATAAAAAACAACCAATATATATCCAACTTATCATAAACAGATCGATTTACATTTTGCAGAATTGATTTACAACAACCAGAAGCCATATCAAAACCCAAGGTCAGAGTGATACCGATGGTTCATGATTTTCTTCTCAATCTGCATTGTTCAACTAATATGCATTGACTTGTAGCTAAGCCACTATTTTCCCATAGAAGAATTAGGGGCCTTAGGAGAATTGATTCCTAAAGTTTATAGACTTGTGAATGTGATTAGATACGATACAATACATCTGGTGTAAATAGTCTTAACTTTTGGAGCAAATTGGTATATTACTATAGTAGAACAACACCAGTCACCATTTGTGGCGATCGCAAGTTAATACATGCACAAAAAACAAGTGGACATGATGGCGGAAAACTTACCTTTCCAGTTATTAATGTATACATGTTAAGGACGTCATCTACGGTTGACTCAAAGTGAGTAGTGGCATCATAACTCTGTCAAAAAAATTTATATATTATTGTCCACCGATCAACATTACATACATGTACATAAGATAAAATAAACTCACTGTTGATATAAAGCAGTTGTCCAAAGATGGTTCATTGACTGGTTCATTTCTGTCATACATATCAAAAAATATCTCATCCACAGGTCCTAGAAGGTCAATTCCGGGCTTTAGTTCAATTGCAGGTTGATCTGTCTCTGCCTCAGTTGATACAAATGCAATAAATTTTCCCTTTGGGGCAACGTTGTGAGAATATGAACAACAAAATAGGTACCTGCCCAGGGCAACAGAATAAAACATTCAATGTAATGAGGAAAAATATAATTGATTGGATATCACCTGCTCAAAAACATTAATAATTTTCCATGTTTTAAATATTAACATCTTAGTATTTCGGTCTACCTTTTATATTACGAATAAATACCAAATTCCATTGGCCTTACTGGACCATAACTTTTTATGGTATTGTTTACTAGGGTTAAAGCAGCAACTTTAATTAACATTATATTTGTAATTGTTGCCGTATAGGTGAAAAAGTAGTAAAAGAGAGAAATACTGAATAATATGATGAAGATGGATATTGAGATGTCAAATGTAAAACAAAAAACCAATCTAATGGTCCTATTATTTATATAAATATTCTAGGTCAAGTACTGATGTAATACAACTAGTAGAACCCCAAACCAATAGGACTACTAACATCATGAGGCTCCTATTATAAGAATCCTATATTCTAAAACTCCCCAAGCTGGCTGAAGCTTGCTAAGATCTCAATTTGTATCAGATAAACACACTGAAAGAAAATAATACTAAAACATATAATGGGCTCCAAAAACCATTGCAGTGCTGAATAGTGACCACAGCAAAATGATGCATCCTGCCTTGGTTAAGATATGTTCACTGTTTGTAATGTTGATATACATACCACATTATCATTTTCAAGTGGAACATACATATGATTATTACTTTTGATGGTTCAGAGATTTTACTTGCACTTCGCTAAATTTCAAAATCACCTTATTAGTAAGTTCTAAAAGAATTCCAAAAGAAGCAAGTCCTATTTCATGTTGAAACCGGATGATTATTTTAGTGCTAAAAAATGACGGGCTTAGCTTCAGTCAAGAAAGCATTGCTCACACTAATTAATGCTCCAACAAGCAGGATAGATATTCTTGATCTATTTATTGTACATGTATTGCAATGGATCTACATATTTAACTAAATATCTATTTTTCAATCACTGTATGAAAACTTACATGTCTGATTTCCGACCCAACTGCTTCTGTGGTAGAATAACTTGCACTGAATGGGAGTCACTGGTGTTGGGGATCGGGTGACTCATGATGGCTATTGCCCTTGCAACCCTACCAACCTTCCTCACCTGTTGAAATGGTTACATTTTTGTTTCAAAGAAGGATGCAGTCTCCCAGCAAGTCTCATTTTAGAAATTAAAATCACTTCACCATCCACCACTAATTTTACTTTTTTCCAACAAAGCATAGGTAAATTTCTTTCATAAACAAAACTGGTAATATATTTTTAGCTCGGCTCTTAGACTTTAGGAACATACAAGTTTACACACTCTCACCATCACCTGAATTGGATGCAAATAGTCAAAATGGAAACTGATATCTATTACCTTGTTGGGCAAGTATGATGGATCACAAACAACTTTTTTGCACTTTGCAGTTTCCCCTTCAGATGTGACACCAACAGCCTTTCCTTCCTCATTAAATTCTACCTGGTATTTAAGCAAAATAAAAACCAATTCCTAAAGTAAGTATGTGTATCATCAGGTTGTTCAAATACAAATCAAAATCACAACAGCAATTATAATAAAAAGATGGGGTGGGCAATTCCAAATAATTGCAAGTTAACAAAATAAGAAACAAGTTCAATGAGTTCAAGAGGCTATATTAATTGGGTTAGGATCCGTGACAGTGGTGTAAATTAAAATCAATTTTACACCAATGAATAAATTTTTGAGAAGTTAGTATCATGCTTGTACATTTCCACATAAACCAATATTGTTTCCCCTCCCCTCAATAAAAGTATCTTAAAACTGATGTTTATTATACTTTTCAAAGAAACAAAAATATGAACTAACTACTTGATGATATAATTACTTTGTTCAAAATTTTTAAAATTTGGCATTCAAGATCGAAATAATAACTATAGCTCAAAGATTGGATTGATCAAAGTATTTTTCCATTGACAGTTTTAATTGTGTAAGTGTGCCAAGTCTTACACTATTGTCAATTGAGTGAGAGAGAAGAAGTATACGTGTATGCATGTATTTACAATAAAGTATCTACCTTGCATTCAGGTTTATTCAACATATATGTTCCACCATAAACAGCACTAAGCCGTGCAAATGCCTGAACCAAAAAAAAAATGTGAATTAATGAACCTTGAGCAAGACAAATTCCAAAAGTACATTCCCAGAAAGAGATTGAGCAAATAGGTAAAAAGATATGTAGAGAGAGGGATACCTGGGGAAGCTCTCCTAAACCATACAAAGGATATATGTAAGGTGATCCCCCTTGAAAGCGAGCAAGAGACTCTGCATATAACTACAAGCAGGAAATATAAGCATGAATAGGGAAACAGAAATAAAGCTTAGGAACCAAATGGAACAGATGAAACTTTCAATTAAGTAAAATCCATAACTGAAAAAGAATAACGCAGTACACTAACCTTCATTCTCTTCACAGTGTCCAGTGCTGGCTCACCCAAGTAGCGATCATCTCTATGAAGCGCCAAAGCATGACCAATGAAGTCCACAGTGTTATCATCAAGGCCAAATTTTCTGTCACAGTTCAAAAAGAAAGCAAAAGGATCTTAAAATATTCTTCTTTGACCACATATTTACTTTATATATAGCATAAGACTTACAGAACTGACCAACTATTACACTTTACTATCAACTCAATACGACGCCACTTAAAAGTATTAAGGTCAATAAGACATGGTAATTATCCTAGACCAGTTTCAATGTGCTTTACAGAGTATTAAGGCAATACAAATGGCAGAATGTTAAATCTAGAAATATAATGGACACAACAAGAAAACCAGTGTATACATACGCAATCAGTTCTCTAGTAGTCACTCTTGTCAAGTCCATCCCATCGTGAGATTTAGGATCATTCTCATCATAATTTTGAACATAAATGAAGAACTTGCGTGCTCGGCGTTTTTCAAATATTCCCATAAGTGGTGACCTTAAGGCCTCCATGTCATTTGATGGTACCTTGTGAACCTATAACAATGAAGTTTCCCACCAGCAAAACAATTAATACATCTAAACAAAATCTAAACCAAAAGAAAAAATTCCAGTACAATCAATGACGAAAACACAAGCATACCTTTCCCTTATTAAAGACAAAGCTCCCATCCACAGCTTTAAAATAGAGATACTTTGTAACATCGGTATGTATGAGAACCCGCACTAAATTGCCATTAGCCATAATAAACTAGCCCCACAGAAGAAAATAAAAAAGACAGGTCAGACAAACTGAGAAACATATCATATGTATATGTCGTGTGTTGTGCATCACCAGAATATATATGCATCAGCAGGCAAAGACAATTAAAAAAAAAATGGAAAAGAAAAATTGAGTTGCATGATGAGGGGAAAAAAAATGAAAGAATAACCTTAGGGTTCATATCAACATTATAGTCCTTGCTAGAACCCAAATGTGGAGGAGGCTTCTCATCTCCCCTGAATTTCTTCCAAAGCTGAAGAATAAAGAGAAATCATCATTTCAAATCTTAAAAAAAAAAATAAAAAAAAATAAAAAAAAATAAAAAAACAGAGACAAGAAATAAAAGACCTGAACAAGATTAAGCGAGGTGGACTCTCCTCCGTAATAGTCATTCCTGTCCATGTGAAGAACCTGAACAACACAGACATGAACGAATCATACAAGTTACCGTTTTGATTTTGATTTGACTTGATTTGATTTGAGCAGGTGGATTGGATATAAACAACAGATAGAAAACAAAAAAGCAAATCGAATCGATTACGGAATCGAAAGATGAGAAAGTGAAAGGGGTTGTTACCTTGAGGCCATCGACGGAGAGAAGACCACTGAGAATGCACTCCTTGAGACCAGTACCCAACACGATCACATCGTACTCTTCATCCATCCTCAATCACAAAAAAAGGGGGCTTAGGGTTTCAAGCTATGGCAGATTGCTGGGAGAACAAGAAAAGAAATGGATCTTCTTCACTTTGACTCTCTGCTATCGAGTGTTTAACACTACACTTTTGACTATGCCCCTCATTTTCACTACACTTATTTTACTTTTTTTCTTTTCTCTTCTCTCCCTTCGCTTGTTTTTCTTTATTATAATCACGAGATAGGGTAATCTATCGCTATCAATCAATTTTATCATTAGATCGATTACGTTAATCCAATGGTTATATTTAATTTTACTTTTGTATGATTATGATTTTCTATATTTAATACTTTTACATTAAATATAGAAAATCATAATCATACAAAGATGAAAATAAATATAAAGTATTAAATATGAGGAATCATAACCATACAATGATCTTACAAAAAAAAATAATAATAAATATAATCGTTGGATCCATATAATTGATCTAAAAAATTGATTGCTAATAACATTGGTAGTAACACTAATTGATTGTTACAATATCCTTCTTCTATTATTATTTTATTTTAAATGATATAATTTTATATTATCTTATATTAAACGATCTGATTTTAACATATATTTGATAATTTTTTATATTTTTTTCTCCGTAAAATTATAAATAAAGAAAAAGAATAAAAAAATCAGTAATTGTGTATTAAAATAATATTATTTCATCTAAAATAATATAAAATTATGTCATTTAAAACAATAAATATTTTTTCCTTTTAAAATTATGTTATTTTAATCAAAACTATTCTATTTTATAGAGAGAAATGGAAATGATGGTAAAAAATTGATTTTCTTAATTTAAATATTAAATAAAAATACCAATTTTAACTAAAATAATAATTTTGAAAAAATAAACATTTTCCCCATTTTTTCAACTTCAGCTTTCTTTCTTTGCACTTCTATTCTATTTACAGTGTTTACTGTTTACATTATATTATAAAATAAACTCATAAATAGATTAAAAAAAGGTACGTTCAACCTCTCTGTCACATTCATAAACAAAATCTATGACTATCGTGTTCATTTTTTGAAGTGAAAACTCGGTAAATAAAAATTAATATTCTTTTTTTTTGTATACATAAAAATTAATATTCTAATTGGTTATTCTAGTTCTGCTAATAAAACTTGGGGAATACTAGTTTATCAGACTAATTATATTATATTATAGACATAAAATATGTGTAGGGCGAAATAAATATTGGCTCACATTTTGATGTATGAGTAGAAAAAGTATTTTATCTCATGAAACGTGAAAAAAACATATCTCATAAAACTTTTAGCCAAAAACTCATTTAGGTTATTTAATTTTATGAGAACTTGCATGATCAAATAGTTTTTAAAATTTGGATCAACTAGATGTTAAATATTGAAAATAGACTCTCTCATATTTTATTTAATATGATCATGTCATGTGAGAGAATATTAATCATACATAAATAAATCAAAAGTGATAATATTGTAATTAACTATCCCAATAATTTTTATTATCTTTCACTTTTCACTATTGATCTATTTTTATATAATTTTCATTATTTCACATAACATAATCATGTTAATTAACACATGAGAGAATCTATTCCCTAATATTTTGAAGTATTTTTATTGAGTGAATGATTATGTTGTGGCTACTAATGGCAACGTTTTATGAATTAATTATTTTTGACAGCATTTTGACTAATTAGTTGTTCTTGTTATCATGATAGTTGTATATAATTGTCGTGGTAGAGTGTTGACCAGATTTGCAACAATTTCGTAAAAACATAATGAAACGAAAGAATGAATTATTGTGATTTAGCAGCAATTAAATCCTACTGGTAATTTCTTAAAAAACCAAATCATTATAAAAATTTGCCATTTTTTGAGTGTCTTTCCAATTCAAGAGAGCAAAATAAACCCAACTCTGTATTATTGTGTGTGTGGAGAAAACTGTAATATAAACATGAAATATTTTTTAATTTAATTAATACGCATTATCAGCAATATACTAATATTTATTAATAGTGTAATATCGTTATTCATTATCTTTATTTTAATTTTACATAATGGATTATTAAAATATTAATGAGTATCAATGCAAAACTCCAATATTAATATTAAAAACTACATGAATATTTCATCTAAATAACGTAATATTATCAATGTTAAAGCAGGCAATGACAGAAATGTACACAATCAACGAATAAGACAGGCATAAAAAAGTAATTATTGTATGTCAAGTTGTTCAGTGATTCTTTTAGAAAAACATTTCATGACATAATTGTTGAGTTGTTTGATGCATGACAGTTAAAAAAAAATAACACAAATAATAATATTGTCTATTTAAAAATAATATTTTTGTCTACCAAAAAAACATTTTTTTATTAAAAACTTAAGTATTATCATATGGAGAGGAAGGCATCTGCTATCTGATATGCTGTTGGAAACATTATTAGAGATAAAAATTCGTTCTTCTGGGTTCATACAAACATAATCTCTGTGATTATTATATATAGTAGCCAAAAAAACACGCTCTTGAAAATGAAACTCAAGCTTATGTTTATTATAAGATCTAAGAAAAGGAAAATAAGAACATCCAAAGACCAGGAGAAAATTGTAATAGTAATTAGTAAGCATTAAGAAAAAAATTATATTAATAAACTGTGATTTAGAATGCTCTTGGTTTAAGCGTTACACCACAAGAATCTGACAGAAATTTATATGACTTTGGATAAACTCTTTTTCTGTATAATTGTAGCTCGGAGTTTTGATACTATATAACCTTTAAAGTAGTCAAATACATATTCAAGTAGCTTGGTGAGATTTTGTGTAATGATAACAAGTTTTTTTTTTGTTTTTTTCTTGAAGAGTGAAGTAGTGAGCGGATGCAGAATAAGTAACATTTATAAATAAGGGGGTGAATGAAAATAAAACGAAAATGTGATGAATTTTGTAAAAAAAAATAAAATATAATGATAAAAAGAAAAGTAAAATGCGACTGAAAATTATTTATTTTTATTTTTAAGAAAAAACTATAAAAAAATAAAAATTTAAAACTATTGTACACAGAAACGTATCACTTATGCGCAAGTTCATGAACTCGTTGAAAATAAAAATGATATTGCTAGAACTCGAACTTATCTTTTTTTTTTAAGTACAAAAAAAGTTTTGGCTGGGGAGACAGAGGAGACCTGAGGATTTACACCAGAGATAGTTAGGGGTATTTATAAACCCATCCAAATCGATTCAAATTGCGGTGATTAAATTGAAAAATCAATAACCGAATAAACCAAAAATTGAAAAACTGAAAAAAAAAAAACCCGTAAATTTTAATTGGATTAGACCGGTTTTCGGATGAGTTGACGAAATCTAATCCAATCCAAATCGATCCAATATATTAATTCTCCTCTGCCTACTTGAGCATTTTCTCCCAAAATTTTTTCAGATCCAATTCAAACCGCGAACACCCCTAGAGAGGGCAGTTTACCCACCAACATGAGCCTTAAAGCGGTCAGAGGGAATCGAACCCACGCCCTTTTGGGGTATAGGCCAACTCTTTAGCCACCCGTGCCACCGCATGTCGGTGAACTGGAACTTATTAAATAAGTTGGAATAGCCTGTGTTGACCCACATGTTTTGTGGCAATTTTTATTTTTATTTTGAAAAAAGTGTGTATCATCTGTCATTTTAAGTGAGAGAAATAGATAGATAAAAGGAGGAGAGAGAGTGGACAAAAAAATAAAGGTGTAAATTCCATCTCTTTATGAAAATAAAATGACATAAGTTATATCATTTAAAAGGACAAACAATTTTCTATTTTTTTTAATAATATCTAACACGCTTAATCCTAATTCCTAAATTGGTATTTTGTTATTTTATTTTTAATTTTTTTATAATTATTATTTAAAAACAAAAACAAAAAAGGCAAAATGAGTCTTTAAGCAGTAAAGTGCATATAATATTATTAAATAACGGTCGTTCAGTTCACTCCAAAAAATTAAACATTCCATCTAATAATATCTTAAAGTCTTATTTTCATATTTCAAATCAAACTAATCGTGAAGTGATGTACCGATTCAATTATCTTAAAAAAATAAAAATAAGAGTGCATCAAATACTAATATTTGATAACAAGCGACAAGGACAAGTACAACATATGCAAAGGCAAAAATAAAAAGTAGCATCCTCAGAAGTCACAACACACTCCACTGATTAGAGGCAAGAGTTATGGCTTGTTCATCTTCGTTATCATCATCAGCATCATCAGCATCAACGGAGGAGGTGACACTGAAAGTGAAATGGAGCGGCAAGGAGTACACGGTGCGAGTTTGCGGCGACGACACGGTTGGGGAACTGAAACGCCGAATCTGCGAGTTAACAAACGTGTTACCCATTCGCCAGAAACTCTTGTACCCAAAAATGGGTTCCAAACTCAACGACAACGACTCTCTCTTCCTCTCACAACTCCCTCTTAACTCCTCTTTCAAAATGACCATGATCGGGTACTCTTCTATCTTTTCTTTTCTTAGGGTTTCCTTCACTAGTCATTACATTAACATAACATCATGAACATGCTATTGTTGTTGTTGTTATGAATGAATGAATGAATGAATTAATAATAATGGATGTAGATGGAGATGGGGTTTGTTTATGTGTGTGCAGTACTACTGAAGAAGATTTAATTGTTGATCCAGTTGAGTCACCTGAGATTGTTGATGATTTTGAGCTTCCTCAACAAGAAGCTGTTGACATCAAGGACATGGAAGTCAATAAGCAAAAGTTGAGGAGACGCATAGATCACTTCAAGATTGAGCTTCTGAATCCATGTCGCAATGGAAAGAAACTCCTTGTTCTCGACATTGATTATACCCTTTTTGATCATCGTTCCACGGCTGAGAACCCCCTTCAACTTATGAGACCTTGTAATCATTTTTTCCTCTTTTTTTATTTTTTTATTTTATTTTCTTTCACTTTTTTTTTTTGTCTTGTTTTTTCAAACTTGCCATTTTTCTACTGCAGACCTTCATGAGTTTCTTACATCAGTTTATTCCGAGTATGATATTATGATATGGTCTGCAACCAGGTTGGTGCCATCATTTGCTCTTTTCTATCAAAAAAATTTATTCTTTTTGTGAGAATAACACCTGGAAATGGAACATGTCTATTCTTTTGTACAACCAACATTGCCATTTTCATGGAATGCTTCACTTCCTGCAGCATGAAATGGATTAACCTCAAGATGGGACAACTTGGGGTTCTGGACAATCCTAACTACAAAATTACTGCACTTCTTGACCACTTAGCAATGATCACTGTTCAGTCAGCTTCTCGTGGGGTCTTTGATTGCAAGCCACTTGGTTTGATCTGGGCTCAATTCCCTGAGGTATAATAAATAACATGCCATTTATCTTCTTTGTGTAAATTAAATAGAATTATGTTAGCATTTTTTTAATTTCATACATTCCCATTTAATGTCATGTAATCAGCCTCTTGCAAATTTAAGTTAAGACTACCTACTATATAGATCCATACAATGGGTTTGACCCTTCCCATGGACCCTGTGCATAGCGGGAACTTTACATTCCCATCTACAGCTGAATGAATGAATAGTTTACTTTTTATCTAGGGAGAAAAAGGGCACCCAAAAAAATTGCTGTTGCGACTTAATCTTCCCCAAAAAACTAAAAAACATGTTTAATGCTTGTGAGTATAATCATAATGCTTGTGAGTATAATCATTGGGAATAAATTGCAAAATGTATCTGTTTAACATACCAAATTGCTGTTTGATATTTTTAATAGAAATACTGGTACTATCATAAATTATATCAGTTTTTTTATTTATTCCCGTACTGTTGTGAATTTTTGCAATATTCAGCCTTTGTCTAGTTGTCTTAATGGTGGTTTCTTATTTTATTTCAGTTCTACAATGCTTCGAATACTATCATGTTTGACGACCTTCGAAGGAATTTCGTGATGAATCCACAGAATGGTTTGATAATTAAACCATTCAGGAAGGCTCATGCTAACCGAGATAGTGATCAGGAGCTTGTGAAGCTTACCCAGTACTTACTGGCCATTGCAGAGCTTGATGACTTTAGCAAACTTGATCATAAAAATTGGGAGTTATTCACAGAGGACAATGCTAAAAGGCGTAGGCACGAGTAAATGATAATGGAATGCAATAAGAGGAATATGGTTAAGCAAGATGCATTGCAGCTTTTAAACTTTATACAACCAGAGGATTTCAATTTTTCATTTCAAGTCATTATGTTAGGACAGGGTGAATGACAGGAAGAAAAGGTTTCCTTGTGGCAGCTGTGTGGAGTTATCTAAGATGACTAGTACTGCTTATGCATTACTATGCACCAATTCCTGAACAGAATTTGATTTGATGCATGAGAAAATTGTATGTTTTCATAATTTGTTGCGACATGGGCACAAAGCTTGGATCATACCGGGTATTGTGGTCATCTTTGCCAATGTCATGTCATAATGCACGCAAAGAAACACTAGTTAAATGAGAATGATTAGTTGTGTGACAACTGTAAAATATCCAATGTGATAAATAGATTCTAATTATCGACAATGTGTTATATGTAAGTTAAGTTCAACCTTTCCTTAGTGGTTTTTGCCCTAATATAACTTATAATTCTTGTATTTTATGCATCGCGATTTATTTTATTACCAGAAAATGATTGTCTTTTGTTAGTAATCTTCCTCTTAAGCAGGGCAATATTTGACTTCGGAAATTCGGTGTGGAAGAATGGAAAGAGAAAAAAAAAGGGGAAAAAATGAATAGGAGAATGGAAAAAGAATGAAAGAAAATGAGAATTGCTTTTTTTTTTATTTGGTTGTATAGAAAAATGTTTTTTCTTTTTTGTTAAATTAAGTGAAATATGATATATGCTCTTACTGTATATGTAATTGGTATAAACAGTATTGGAAATTTGAAAGTCAAGAATCTGGATAACAACATTAATCAATTAGGGAAACTGATCAGTTCAATCGTGAAATCCACAAGTTAATATTAAACTCTTATCACCATCAACCAAAGTACCAATATGAATACTGTTCTTGGAGTTTTAACGACACACAATCGGTTCAGTTCTTGACTTAACCTAATCCGACTGACCAAGTTTTCGGAACGGGTTGGGCCACTTTTCCCTTTCTTCAATCTCCTTACCTCCTAATTCATACCTATCCTTTAAACAAAAAATCCGCTAACAAAAAATGTTGAATAATATATACACACAATAGATTACTTCAATTGATTGCATACTAAGGTCTTCTGCTTCCAAAGCGTTGCATAAATCCCATTTTGTGAATCCAAACCCTAAGGTTGAGTGTTGGCTGAAGACCCTTCTCCCATGAGTCATGCAAAGCAAATAGATACGTAAATGAACCAAACTACATTATATGTATATTCTAGATGCGATTTATTATAACAAGTTAGACTCTCAAGTGAAAAGTTAAAGTAACTCTTACTGATAGGACACTGCAAAAACGAATAAACAGTTAAAGCCTTTAGCTTTTTATACTTCCTCTGTTAGTGAAAGTTAAACTCTTACGAAATCAGTGACTAAAACAATGTCCCAAGTCAATTTTCTCACTGCTATCAAACAAGATGTGTTGAGAAAACATTAACTTCATTAGAATCATATAACAAAACATTAACTTAAACATAATCCATACAAATAATGCACATTCAAACAGCCCTGAGACATTTTCTATTTGCACTGGGCCAAATTCCACAATAATGGTGATTCACAAGAGGGGTATAGAGTTACATAATCATTGAAAATACAGTTGGGGGTGAAAGCTTAGAAACTGATGAGTTAACACCTCCGGTAGGTCAAATGACTGAAATAGAATATGATTTCAGCAATGACCACCAGGTGCACATTAAATGGTAATAATTTAAGTAAATAGAAAACAGAAAAGACTGAAATCAGCAAAGAGCTGGCAGAGAGAGGACATATGCTGGAAATCTCTGCACAGTCCCGCAAATGGGAAGTAAACAATTCCATCACAGGTGGTTTCAACACCAGTTGAATGTAGAGCCAGAACAAGGCTTCAGCTACTGCAATATCTAAATTCTGAGAGCTCCAGTTGCAGGGTCATGACCTGAATTGGTGCCCTTGTGTTTCAGAGAAAGGTTTGCAAACTGAGATTCAAGGTCTCTGCTTTTGGTACGTCTATGACTAGCAGATGGTTGTTGTTGCGGCTGATGTGTCTGCTGCTGTTGAAACAATGCACGTATTCTTCCAATCTCTCTTTCCAGTACTTCCTGCTCCACTGAATTTCATATTACATAGTTTTTAGTATCCAAAACAAATTCCTGTCATATCTGATGAAACTAATCATGCCTAAAAAGAACTCAAGGGGCCACAATTTCGGTCTCACGTTTTCTTAATAGTCATGTTTTTGGTATTCCACAAGGTGTCCCCACCCACACCCTTTCGATGCGAGAATAATCCGCATTTAGGAATCTAACGGTGTGGCCCTGGCCACAAATTCTTCCAGTGGAGTTTGAACCCTGCACTACAGGCCACATGGTAGCTCAGGTTGCCATCTGAACCACCTCATTTTGTTTAAGTCATATATTAATTCCTCACTTCCATCACTATCCTAGATGACTAGATTCTTTTAATAAAAGAAAATATGTAAGAACAGCAGTAAAACCTGCAATGTTATATGGAGCTGAATGTTGGCAAACACATAGGCAAAATGAGCATAAAATGGGAGTAGCAGAAATGAGGATGTTAATGTGAATGTGAGATCAAATAGGATGGATAAAATAAGAAATAAAGATATTTGACGAAAGATAGGAGTAGCACCAGTGGTTGAAAAGATGAGAGACAATATATCGAGGTGATTTGAGCACATAATACGAAGATCTCTAGATGCTTCCATAAGAATAAAAGTTTGTTACCAAGAGCTTGACATAAAGAGAGGAAGAGGTAGACAGACATTTACTTGGGGGAAGGTAGTAAAACAAGACTTAATAATGGAGTGAGATATATATTTACAGACTGTGTCTTTGGACAGATCGGAGAAAAGCTTGGTATTGTGGAGGGTTAGACCCCCTTTTTCCCTACGTTCCAAATGGTTCTTTTTTAGTCATTTTCCCAATATCTCCGTTTATTTCTTTCTTTACCACTCTTTTTTTTTCCTTATTTTCTTTTATTTCTCTATTTTCCTCTCAATCTATCTTTTCTTATTTATTTATGCACTTTTTTTTTCTTTTTTTTATCTCTCTATTTCTTTAATTTTTATTTTCTTATTCTTTTTTTCCTCTCTTATATATCTTTAATTTCACTTTATTTTATTTTTCTTTTTAATTGTTTATTTCTATTTTTTTAATGTCCAGTGTTAGTTATATATATATATATATATATATATATATATTATTGTTTTTTCCTCAATCTTCTCATACTTTTTATTTGAGTTAATCTGCCACCCACCCCAACTAGTTTGGGATAAAGGTGTTCTTGATGTTAATGTTGCTAATTCTACTTCTATCTCAATTATTTTATTACATAGATACAATGGAAGCAGAAAATGATCTTCACCTCTACAATTACTCTCCACATAAACAAGACACAGTGCAGCATTCGAAGCAGTTCTCTAAGAAAGTGCCAAAATAAGTAAAGAATAATAACTCAAATAAGCATCAAATTTGCTCAAAACTCGAGCATGCATAGTTTTCAACTAGAAAAAAAAAACAAGAACTGAATGCTCAGGCAAGGAGCCATCACTCATAAAATTTTTGTAATGACTGAACAAATAAGTAGAAATTTAGAACAAATCACACAGTACATTCCCATATTGCCTTGCCTAAAGGCAGATGAATTTATAGTTAAAGCTGAATACCACATTCCCCCCTTTCTTTAAAAAACACTTTTTTAAAAAAAATTGATTCTACAAGTCAAACTATTTTTCATTATAAATCTCTATAACATGAAAAAAAAAACATCATTTTCAATCCAGGACGAATATGAGTATATGGTAAACTGAATAAGTAGGAGCAAACCTTATTATTAAATCTGAGGTACTGGTAGCACACAGTTAGTTTGATTTGATTCTGATCAATAGTCAGCTTTTAAAATACCACCCAATCATGCATTGCTACCTCATTAAATTTTTTGACAACAATTACCAAAAGTCAAACTCTCTTAATGATTTGTCAACACATGATTGAGTGAAAATGTAAAAAACTTTACACTAAAAATGGATTAAAATTAAACCCACTAAAATTTAGAAATTGTAGTAAAAAGTATTTTCAGTGTAGCAACAACTAACTAGATAAGTTGTTATTAAGTCAAGATATGATTAACCATCAACCATTCTTTAAATATTGTTAACCACTAATTGATTTCCCTAAACTGGAAATCCCAAAATTGCAAATGAAAAGAACTTCTTTTGTGGGACTAAAAATCCTTAACTAACAAAGAATACCGTGGCAGGCAGATTTTGCAATGTAAAGGATTGAACTCTAGCCGAGAGGTTCTTCCATGTATACATAAATAGAGTTGCATGAAGCTCACGATTACATCCAATGACACACAGACTTATCTATCATCAAGCTCATTTCTCTATTTTCTGTACAAAATGAAAATTTTGACCTTCGGTTTAAGGTCCTTGAGCTACAATATTGATCCTTCCCAAAGTTATTTGAGCAGGCCCCCTAAGATCAAACCTCCCATTTATTAATCTCATTCTTGTAATTCTTCTTGCAATCATGCTCAAGTACATAGAAGATAGGACTTGATTAATTTCGTACTTTCTCACCAGTTATATGCTATAATCAAACTTAGTAAGACCTATCGGGTTTCTTTTCTATTAATCTATACAATAAAATGCATCATAAATTCACAAGGATTTGCATATATACACAACTACCTTGAAATGCACAGTAACTAGATTGACATTTCCAAGTAAAAAAGACTTCCATTACTAGCAAACCTGAATGGCTAATGCTCATATGATAGAATCTTACAATATTTGATAAGCTGCTCCTGTGCTAAACTTTCTAAACGTTGCTTGAGTGCTTTATTCTCCATACTCAGGATAAGATTCTGCTGGTTAAGAAATTCAAGCTCAGCTGAGACTCCAGACCCTTCTGCCTATGTATTGACATATAAAGAAAAAGAATGAGAACTTTCAGCTTTCCCGTGTAGGATATACATCATTTGCGGAAAAAAAGTCACTGTGCAATGTGTATCCATGCAGAATATTGCCTTATGCTGAAATTTACCTGTAAAGCTTGTACATTTCTTTCCAGCTCAGCTATGTATTGAAGTTTACGTACCCGTGAACGTTGAGCAAATTGCCTGTATTATGAGTATTTCAGAACATTTTTCCCTTTCCATATATAAATTTATTGGTTTAAAAAAAACTTTTGTAAATCAAATAGCAAAAATAACCCAAAAACACCAAATTTCATTAATAAAGAGTAGCACAGCTTAACTACTTTCTCAACATGAGAAATAGTATACCAGCTTAGTAATGCAGACATCACTTTACGCCACAGATAATTGTTATATCTTCTCTTCTTCTTAGTATATTATAAGAAGTTGTAAAGAACCATTTTGTAACGCCTGGCAACATGCAAGGATTAACGACTGTCCCCACACACTAACACGAGACTTTTCAGCGTGCTTTGTCCTCACTCGCACACTTCCCGGGAAAACTTCCCAGGAGGTCACCCATCCCAGAATTTCCCCAAGTCAAGCACGCTTAACTATGGAGTTCTTCCGATCCGGGCTACCGAAAAGTAGATGCATCTTGTTAGTATAGGCAGTACCAATTAATTCTTATAAGCCATTCCCAACTGTACCGTCCCATACCAGCACAGTCTCTGGAATCCCTCTCTTTCGGATGTTGATTCGATTCATTCATGTACCCCCGTCCCTAGAAGCCTGCCAGGAGCCGCTCCTTGTCCATGCCCTTACGCACCGGCGATCACTCCCCGCCCTCGTCAGCGCCCGGGATGTTACACATTTCAACCCAAAAGCTTAAGCTATTGGGTGAGGCTATATTAATGATTTTAAATATCTCAACACACCACCTCACACGAGAGCCCACTGGGCTTGAAGGGTGGACAATGCACAGGCCCACCTACCTGTGCGAAAAAAGAAATTCCACTAGAAAGAAAGTGGGGGACGGCGATGTTCGAACCCGAGACACGAGGCTCTGATACCATGTAAAGAACCAATTCAACCCAAAAGCTTAAGCTATTGGGTGAGGCTATATTAATGGTTTTACATATCTCAAGAGAAGTTATATGCCAAACTAGTAGTATAATCTTGAAATTCGATTTTAAAATCAGCAGCAATTAATCTGGAAAAGTTTAAAAGGGTCAATGATAGAGTATGACATGACTTCATGGCTTTTCTATATGAAATCATTCTGCATGGAAAAGCAAACCGAGAGAACAGAAGGAGAGGATCAAATCATTGATACACCAGAACTAGCAGTCTTTAGATCATATATTAGTGGTAAAATCAAACAGTCACTGTAATAGCAATAAAATCAGAAACTGGAGAAAATAACTGCATACTGTTTAGCACGTTTTGTATCTGTTTCAGAAGCAGATGACTTTGCATGTGAACCATCATTTCTTTCAGAAGATGATTTTGCATCCTGTAGGCCAGATTCTACAGAATCATGCTTTTCATTTGCAGTTGGCAGAAGCCCATCTGCTTCATGTGGTGTACATGGTGATCCTGAACTCTGAAAAGCAACATTATCTTTGCCAGAGGGAACACCACCTAGATTTCTTACAGCATTTGAAAAAGAGTCCCATGCCCTATTCTGCTTTGCTGAGTTCATTTCTGGATACATGTGCATATGACAAGCATCTTTGTTGTGGTCAAAATCTTGCGATGACCATGATGAAACAGATGCCAAATTCTTATATTTATACTCATCTTGATCTGCATAACTGATGTTAGACACATTAACTGTGTCTATGTATGCGAAAGAATCACTTGATGAACGCCGATGACCACCCCTTCGGACAGGTGTCTCAGGCTCATTAAGTAGATCATCAATCCATGAAGGCTGCTCCTCCAAGACAAGGTTCTCAGATGATGTACGGTGGTGGTGTGTCTTTCCCTCTCTAGGTTTGTTAGCAGCCTTTGAACCAAGAGTAGGATTTGGGACATAATCAGCATATGCTTGCGAAACACTAGGAAATGGGCTTTTGGGAGGAAGTAGAGCATGCTTTCCAGGACACATCAAATTTCTTATACCCGATGAGCCCTTTGAATTTGCCATAGAAGTAGAATCAACACCTGTCAAATAAAATGCTATGAATCACCAAAGAATATGGCCAAGTAAATATATTTAAAGATGAAAATAAAGAAGGGAATACAATCAACAATAATGGAATGATCTTCTCGTGAAAATTTAAATAGGCCATCCATGATTCAACAAGATATCTGATATGCTTATGTTCTCAATTGCAAAATATAACTACAAATTTAGGTTACTCGTACAAAGATCCTACAAATAATAGAAATTTGGTGTGTATGCAAATGCACTCACGCTCACAGCACCAAAAGAATCACTGCACCTGCTTCCCTATATATATTCTTGAAAAACTAGTACAAAACAAACCAATAGCTTTATAAAAAATAAAGCATCTCAGTAATCTCAAGAATCATAAATGAGTAAAACAGAAACTTTATTGCGAAAAATGCCTAAGAACTAAATATCCCAGAGCTCCATAAGAGTGTTTTTCATTGGGTAAAAGCCCACATCATGCCGGCAGCTTTATGGACCTATCTTTTTATTTTCATTTTTCCAAATTGTAATCCTAATATTTGTCCAGCTATCTCATGAACAATCTTAAATTCTCATTTCACATAGATTTTATTCCAGATAGTTGACTAAAGTTGTCCACCTTCCCTTCCCTTGCAGTACGGGAGCATCACATATCCAATTGGTATATAGGCTCTATACATTTTCATTATAAGCAAAGCACAACCGATATGAAATAGTATCACGCACATTAACGATCCCATCACTCATAATAATCACCAATGTTTTGAAGTTAAAACCACTGCTATATTGCTGAACAAATTGGAGATCTTAATTTTATTTAAATAAAAATCAAACCCAAACAACTTTGCCTATCAAGCCTGGCAAGGCAACCAGTTCATTACCAATGTAACAGAAGACTACATAACAATAATTTCAAAAAAATAAAATGAAAAATCCAAAACTTTGGAGCCACAAGCATCCAACTGGAGAGCTGTTTGGGGGGGGGGGGGGGGGGGGGGGGGATCCAATCCATTAAGAAAAATTTAAAGAAGATAAATTGAAAAAATAAGTAAATAAAAAACTGAACCCAATTGCTAAAGTTTCTGATTAATTTTCCCAGGACCCAGATGAGGATAAAAAACAAAGACGGAAACTTTACTTTGATGCATTTCCTTTAGAATTTACGCAAAGCATGCATTCAGAGAATATAGAAAAAAATCAACAAAAAAGGAAAAATTAGTATTTATAGAAACGAAAATGCTGTAATGTGAGAAACTGTAGCATCAATAGACCAATGATTTCAAGCTGATTGAACGAATTGAGGATAAATATGGAGATGGAAACCTATCGCAAGCAAACAAAAAATTTAAGAAAAATCCAAAAGGAAAGGAAAAAAAAAATACTGACCTTTGCAGATTGGAGATTCGAGATCCCAAAATGCAATGGTAAAGGGGCTTGAAATTAAAGCAGAGTTTCTCTCTTTCCTAGTCGTGGGTTGATTTCTTCAACAACCTTCCTCTTCTCTCTGTCTTCTCGTTGAAGCTAGGGCTTGATTGTATAACCATGACAAGTATTACCCTTCCTTAATCTTTTGCTATTTAACATTGGATTTGATGTTTCTATATGTTTTATTTCCTACCCCTACATAAAAACATAAAAGGTATATATGCGCCTAAATGGGGCATGCAAAAAAAAAAACACACAGAAAAAAAAATATATATAAATAAATATTTAGGGTTTATCGTTTCTCAAGCTGTCTGAGACAATGTTTTTTTTTGTTACTAAATCATAATCGTACAAAGATAGATCAATGGTGATAAAGGAAGAGAGAAAAAGAAAATCATAATCATTCAAAAGTGAATCAATCAATATAAGAAAATAAATAAACAAAACGACATAATTTTAGGGTGACAGAAAATAAACTCAATCAGCTTGAGAAATGTTTTTTCTCAAATATTTATACTTTTTTTTATGTGTGAGTAAGATTAATTTTAGGAAAATGTTTTTGTTATGTTGTTGAAGAAGATAATTATTTTATGTCAGTGAAACAAAATTATAAGAGGGATCCACAAATAATTGAAGAGAGAAAAAATAGAGGTGTGACTCACCTTTGTTATATGTGTATAAAAATTTAATTTATCTTATGTTGAATAATATAAATATAGGGTTAAACTACCGTCCTGTTACGTCAAAATCACAAATTTGTCCAACTAATACATTGATTTTTGTGCTTTCTTTTTCCTATTTTTTCAGTTATTTTGTGTCAACCGAAAATATTTATGTTTTCCAGTAACATAACCTTAGTTTTTTACATAAATATAATGCTTAATTTTATCATTTATATTGTGAGTAACATTAAATCCTTTAACATTTTATTCCAAAAATAAAAAATGTGAATTTAAAATTAAAAAAGAAAGATCAACATAGGCCTCGGCACCACAAACATTAAAATAATTGTTGTATCGCTGTCCAACTTGTATAGTTATCATTTCAAGGGAAAATGGGTTCCAACTACGAATTCGTTATTAAAAATGGGTCAAATGTGAGGATTGGAATAATAAAATTGAAGTTAAAAACAATATTTTGATCTCGCTTATTTTGGCTTGACGTGGGTTGGATCTATGCAACTTGAAAAATGTTAAAATATACAATTAAAATTATTAAGTCTTTTTTTTTTACTAACTCAATTTACAGTGTATTCGATCTAGCTGTATCTGGCTCGATGTAGTAGATTAGTACATCCTTAATCGTGTTAATATTATTTAGATTTATTGAATTTTTGTAGTAACATAAGTGAGATAGTACATTGGATAATAAATAATGGAATTTTATAAGAAACTTTTTGTGGGTTTTAAAGAGAAATTCTAATGTGTTCTAAGATAAAAAAAAAAAAAAAAAAAAAAAAAAAAATTGTTGACGAAAGACACGTCATCTATTTGAACGAAGATGCTCGTTTGAAAATTTTTAACCAAGTACTTTTTATTGGAAAATGTTATATTTATTATCTTTTTAAATTTACCACTCTTACTATTAATGATTAAGATAAGTTTAGTTTGTTCAAAAAAGATTTAAAGCAAAAATGAAACAATACAATTATGAGAAAAATAAAGCAATAATATAATTTAATACAACTTTAAAGTAATTACAGGGAAATTTTTATAATTTTCATCTCTTAACTCAATTTTTATAATTATCCAATGTGATATGATAGATTCTAATTATCTATCCAATAGACAAGAGGCTGGCTGTGAGAAGGGGACAGCTATAGATAGAGCGAGGATGAATATGACATAGTAGATGGTAGTACATATCTTTATTTTATATTTTATAAAAGATTAAAGATCTTTTTTTATCCCTAACAAAAAATACGGTGTTCACTTTAGTCTCTTACAAAAATAAATTAGTAAGTTAGTCCCTAACAAATTCAAGGTGGACCCATTTTAATTCTTTTGAGGGACTAATATAGGTCTTTTTTGAATTTGTGAGGAATCACGATTTCAACTAAATGAGTCCATTTTGAATTTGTTAAGGACTAACTGACTAATTTAGTTTTGTAAGGGACTAAAGTGGGGAACCATATTTTTTTGTTAGGGACTAAAAAGAATATTTAGTCTTTATAAAACAAACAGGAAAGCTGAGATATCTACTTTTCCTTGAAAAAGCATAAATATTTAAATATTGATGTAAATGGGTGTGGCTCATCAAGGATTTATAGCCTGATTTCCCTTAGGTCTGGTTTGCTTTATTTTTTAATTAGACCAGGTTTAATTTTCTAAAAAAGTCCATTTAAAAATTAGTTCACAAGTCCACTTTAAAAAGCCTAATGATATAATATATTTATGATGTATATGGTTCACTTAAAGATATTTTTTGATATTATAATTTATAATATTAATTTTCAAAGTAATAGGATTGATGATATTTTAACAAATAATAAATATTTATGATTGGTCCTTACTTTATTTAAAAATAAGTAGTTATTTTTTAAGAAGGTGATGTTACGCAAAAAAAAAATGATCAATTAAAGAAGGAAGGTTGCCAAGAACAAATAAAAAGCTCATAAAAATATTATTTCATGTATTATTATGAACATTTTTTAAAGATCTTTGTGATCTTGTAAAAAAACTGTTTGAGAAATTGTAATAAAATTTTCATGTGATCTTTATAAATATTATTTAATGTGATCTTTGTGAATAAGAAATTTTATCTTTTATATTTTAGTTTAATTTAGGCCTATAAATTTTAATTTGCAAATTAGAAGGTGTAATACCCAAAAATCCAAAAAAAAAAAGTATTGTTCACATTAACTGTAGCGCACCAAAAGGGCCAAAGTGGTGCAAAAAGTACCACAAAATATTGAAACGGCACAAGAAGCACCAAAATGGCGCAAGATGCATCGATCGGTATAAAATTTGATGTTGTTATCGAAAGATAACAATAAAATTAAAAATAAAAATAAAAATATAAAAACAAATAAATAAATAAATATTAAATAGTAATAAATAAAAATAAAGAAATATTAAATATGATTGTTATTTGAGTTATTATTTTCTTATTATAAATATGTTTTAAGAGAATAATATTTTTCACTAAAATGGGTAGATTGGTTATAGTTCAAAAAACACTAATATTACTAAGATTTATTCGACGTTTGTTTGTTTTTATGTTAACCTTTTCAGAGAGTAAACATACCAGTATGTATCTCATTGAAGTAGGATGAAGTATCATGATTAAAAATTATGAGGACCGAATGGAGTTCATGAAAAATGTGTATACAAACTTAGTTAAAATTCCTACTTGATGTAAAATAATTCAGAGATAAGAAATCAAAGTATTTGATTCAGTCATATGTGTATTTAAATTTTAAGTATATTTTATCATATATTTTATTTTATATATATTATACTCTTTAATTTAAGATAAAAATTAAGAAATAATATAATATCCTCTATACTAATCAGTTACAGGGTATATTACAAGAGGAAGGATATTCTTACTACCAAATTTTTTTACTACTAACTTACTACCTATCTAATCACCATTGAATCAAAGAGAGATAATGCTAAAAAAAATTTGAAAAAAGAGAAAATGTTGATCCAATGGTGATTAGATAGGTAGTAAGTTGGTAGTAAAAAATTTTGATAGTAAGAATATCCCTCCTCATATTATAATAGGCCTTAAAAGTCGGCTAGATTTTTTAATTTTTTTATAATAAATCAAATCAGACCTATAAATCAAGACTTTAATAAGCTAATAAGTCAATATAAACTCTAAATATTTTACATAAGCTTAGCAAAGCTATTGTAAATATTAGGTCTTTTATTATTATTAATATTTGTTGTATTGGGCCAAGCTCATTAGGTCAAGAATTAGGTTTTTTAGTCTCTATAAATAGAGACATCTTTGTATCAGATTAATACACTATTCAATAATATTTCAAATACCCTTTTCTTTCAAGTTGGTATCAGAGCCTCGTGTTCCGGGTTCAAACCTCGCCCCCCCACTTTCTTTTGGGGAATTTCTTAGCACAGGTAGGCTGAGCCTGTTGCATCATCCACTCTTCAAGCCCAATAGGCTCTTGTGTGAGGGGCGTCTTGAGATATATAGTCTCACATTGGTAGTATGAGCAACTAATGTGGAGTTTATAAGGCCTTGGGCACTCCCACCCTCTAAGCTAGCTTTTGGGGTGGTAACCTCAAGGTTCTTATCAAGTTGGTATCAGAGATCTCGATCCTGAGGGCTCTGCTTCGGCGCCTACGAAACCTTGTTTAGTCTTTTTTCGTCTCTCGCTGCTATCAGCCGCCACCGGAAAAAAAATTTCGGGGACCTCTTGGACCGAGAAGATCATTTTTTCTCTTCTTTTTCCTTTTCACACAACATAAGGTCAATGTTTGTGTGGCAAAACAAACGTTCTTCACACTGTTCATCGCTGGTCATCACGTTTCAACACTAACAGCACTATTCATCACGATTTTTGGATGTTTTCCGGCGACCGTTCAACTCCGATCAGCCCCAGATAGGTTCGCAACCCTTGGACGACCTTCGCCTGAAAAGCCCAGCCCGATCGGACTTCAGACGCGCCTCCACGCGCCGCTCCTTTCCCTGCGCGTGAAGCCCACGCGTCGCCAGCTTCACCGGCGCGTGACGGCGGTTCTGGAGGTCGGGCCACTGCAGTTCTGATCGACTCTCCAAGCTCGTTCTAGATCTGTGCTCAAATCTTTGATCGGACTTCGTTCGGTATTTTTTTCGAATTTTTTGGCTTCTTGGAGCTTTTTCGTTGACTATTTTTGTGCAGTATGGCCTCTTCTCAAAGGATTTCCTTAACAAAGTTTTATGGTGGTGCATCTTCTAGACCTAAGAGAGATGATCGATGGTGTTCTTATTGTAAAAGAACATGTCATATCAAGGGTTTATGCTTTCGCCTCCATGGAAAGCAAACTGTCTTAGAAAAGATGGCAAGGATGCGTGGTCAAGCGCATTTTACTTCCTCTGAAATAACCCCTGCACCTAATGAGACCCAACCTGCATTTCGTCCAGATGAATTGGAACGGCTCTGAACCATCCTTGATTATCTGAGTAAGCCATCT